AGAAGCGATTTATCAGAGACTAACTGATATAAACAGGAGTCAAGTTCCTATGGCACCTCATTGTTATAACAAAATGATGCCGTTCAAAGACCTGCTGTGTTTGTGTGGCTTTTCCAGAGGAATGAAACATCAACCTTCAATGAACCAACCTCTTTTCTTATACTGTTACTTAGGTAATACTACATTAAGTTTAAAATTCCTCAGCATATAACCTATGGTGCTTTCTAGGGAAGACTGAAATTGGTAGACTGCACATACTTAAATTTATATCTTAAGTCATTTTTAGAACATTTTTCTCCAACAGCTAGAGCAGAGCCTCTGCGCCAGTTTAAGCAGATGATCTGCAATAACTTTTGGGGAAAATAAGGACTAACTTTGCAACCGAGGCAGCAGTTGGTAACTGGTCTGTGGACTGAGACTCCAGTCCCTCACACATCCTGTGGGCAAGGGGAGGGGGTTACCATCCATGCTAAGAACTTTCACAGAGTGAGGATTTGAGAAGCGTATTGTAGATGTTACTTATAGATCGTCCAGTCCTCACACCTATGCTAACCGACCCTGAATTACTTTCTGCTCCCAGGAAGGCGCAAGCTCCTTCCAGCTCAGAGGACCACTTTGGCCGCTCCTGGCACGTACCGAGTTTCCGCTCATGGCCTCCGCATCCAGGTAGGAAGGCGGCATCTGGACCTTGCTGAGCACCTTGAAACACGTCTTCAGGGCGAGCGTGAGCTCGGGCAAGCTCAAAGCCTCCACGTTCTCTGCCAGAGGCTGCACCAGGCAGGCGAGCACCTGCGGGAGGTACTGGGTCTGCACCTCAGAGTACAGTTCCTGGGAAGCAGACACGGGTTAATGAACGTGGTTCGGCTTAAATCAAGGAAAAAAATGCACCTCATGACGCTTCTTAGTTCCGTTTTTTTTAGAGCATAAGGAAGCTTCATGTTAACTCCCAAATCAGGAAACAAAACAAAGTTTCTCTCTGATCTGGACAAATCATGGACTTCTGTCTCCTCCTTTCAAGTGGCTTTCCCCTTTCTAGTAGGAAACCACTGCCACATTTATTTCGACATCGAGGCAACTAGCTTCCTTTGGGGAAACTGGCCAACTACAGACGTTTAAGTAGGAAATCATTCACTCCCACTCCTAAATACAGCATGACGCCCAGCTCACCATCGCTTACATGACGTCAGCTCAGCCCCCTTAAAGCTGGCTCCAACGTTACAACCCCTTTAAAATAAGACATAAAATGTAGCAGGTTTGTTAAACAGGCCAATAAGACTAATGAAAATGTCACAGAACTCTGGCCGGTGCGGCTCAGTGGTTGGAGCATCGTCCCCTACAACAAAGGGTGGCGGGTTCTACTCCCAGTCAGGGCATATACCCAGGTGGCAGGTTTGATCCCTGGTCGGGGTGTGTGCAGGAGGCAACTGATCGATGTTTCTCTTTCTCTCCCTTCCTCTCTCCAAAAATCAATGTAAGAAATAAAAATAAAAATGTAACAGCAAGCGCTGAGCCATCCCTCCCCAGCAAAGCCCTTACGAGGGGAATGACATCCAGCAGGAACACGAGGAGGGTGCAGAGCTCCGAGACCGTGGGGGCAGGGCTGACGCTCT